GTCCACTGGAGGCACTATCTGTTAGGTAGGTTCTTCTATTTGAGGACTGACCATCAGACCCTTAAGTGGATCAAGACCCAGCCAGTTCTCTCTGATGCACTCAAACGCTGGATTGAAGTCATAGATCAGTATGACTTCAAACTAGACTATGTGAAGGGAGAGTACAATAAGGTTGCGGATACATTGTCGAGAAGGGCAGATTATCTAGGTGCGCTGGTTTCTGAATTTGGCTTATCTGAAGACATGACTCGATCTTTGGGGGAAGACTACAAGTAAGATCCCATCACGAAGGACATCATCAACAAACTGCAGGCCAACGACAAGGCACCACTGACGAGTTTGTGATGATGGATGGGTTACTCTTTCTTGAAAAGGCAAGGTTTAAAAGGTTAGTTGTTCCATCTAGGGAAGTTTTGCGTAGTTTATTTTTAGGTGAGTGCCATGACGCAACGGGACATTTCAGCTACAAGAAGACTAGTGCTAATTTAGTACAACGATTCTGGTGGCCTAACATGATAGACGATGCAAAGAAGTACGTACAGACCTGCCAGGTCTGTCAGCGGGACAAGCCGCGGACTCAAGCTCCGCTTGGGTTACTCAAACCTCTACCCATTCCTGCTCGCCCAGGATAGAGTATCTCCATGGACTTCATGGGCACTCTCGTGACCAGCAAGAATGGCAAGAGGCACATCTTCGTCTTTGTCGATAGGTTCACTAAGTATGCTAGACTAATTGCCATGCCGAAGACCGCCAGGACTGAACATGTCATCAAGTTATTCATGGATAACTGGGTGCATGATTTTGGACTGCCAAAGACAATCGTTAGTAATAGAGATGTTCGTTTCACAAGCGAGATGTGGAAGAAGGCTGCTGAACAGATGGGCAGCCAGCTTAAGATGACTAATGGGAATCATCCCGAAGCAAATGGGCAGGACTGACGTCGGTGGCCAAAACTCGACAGTTCCATACGTGGGTATTCAGGCTCTCGCAGGACGCCAGTTGGTTGGGTAGACGCGTGAGCGTCACTAAGCTGCGTCATACAGTTGGCCCCGGCCTTGACAGTTGCGCCTGGGCACATACACAAAGCAGGGCCGATACATAGGGCAGCAGGCCGTCGGCCCTTGGAAAAGCAGTACTGCCTACGCACCTGCCTAGGAGCCCTGCACAGATGCAGCAAACAGCCCAAGTCCGGGGACTCGGGCCGTGCCCGACTGAAAAGGGGCCCAGACACTCAACTGTAGTCTCGGGCCTGGGCGCAGGGGCTGAGGCCCAACCAGAAGCTACTGGAAGCTTCCAGCCAGGCCACACGCAGCATCCAGGAGGCTGCCACTTCCACAAAAGAAGTGAGGCAGCCCAGGCCAGGTATTCTGGCCAGTGCAGGCAATGCGACAGTGCTGCTGCGCTCTCGTTTGATGCTACCGAAGGCGCTGATGGGGCACATAGTGGTGTGGTGGGGCGCTGCAGGGCAGTGGGGCGCAGGCAGCCATAGCCGGGCTGCTGGGCGCCAAGGGGTACAGCGGGCGATCTGGTGGTCTTCAGAGAAAGAGGTGCAGTGTGGGGTAATCAAGGTCTGATTGAGGGTGACGAGATACGTACCTGGTGCACGAAGAGAGGTCGACTATGGTGTTGACAGTCATGTACATTGGTCTTCAAGTGTCGAAGTGAGCCTGTTGTGTGAACCAGATGTAGGTAGGATAGTCGGGTAGAGTAGGCTGGGCGATGGGCGTCAAACAGAGAGGAGCGACTTTGGATACTGTGTTAGTGTGGCCTACGAGCTTGGACATTGACTCATTACTTCATTGTATTGCTCAATATGGATGGTTTTCTCGATGCGTTTGTACTCTCTGCTTGGACACGACTGCTTGGACATCTCCGTGATTTCACAACTTGGATTTTTGTATATCATTCACACTCATATTCCTTGCACCTATTATCTTTTACGGGAAAAATTTCGTGAAAAACGTGGCCGCTATGCGGCCGACCCCAGCCGCGGATGCAGCCATGAAGATGGCCGCCCTCCGAGCCTGACCCCGCGGCCGCGGCCGCGGGGGATACATAGGCCGCAACTGTTTGTAGATTCTGCCTCCCTGGCCCTTCTTCGATGAGAACAAGATATGTCATTGATCCTGTCCAGTTGCTTATTTATACCAGTTTGAGGCACATTGCGCATTAAGCAATTAATTTATTAATAATTATTACATCCATTGCTTAAATGATTAATTAAATGTTATGCCTGGCAATCGGCAATTGCAGCGCTGCCTGAATTTCTGGACTGCGTTGAACACCCTTCGGTAGACTGCCTTGTCTGGGCGATCAACCATCTAGCAAGGAAGCTAGAGATAGCACTCACAATTGTTCCCTCGAATGCAGCACACTGTTCATCGGGACTGAAAGTTGCCCCAGATACAGCTTTGATGACCGTTTGTTCTATTCAGGTACAAAGAAAGTACGAAAGGCATATTTGAGCGGAACAAAGTTACGCAAACACAGAGCGTGAGCTTGCAGGAAGTGAGGGGGAGAATGGGCACAGCGTTTCACTCAACTTCCGTTTCCTTGGAATGAGCACTGCTCCGTGTGCTAACTCTCGCGTCTGTTGAGATGTCTATCAACGTGTGCATGCATTAAGTTGCGGGTACAAGTCAGATCTATTAAAACTGAATGCATGAAACGGGACTTTTCTTTGCATTATAGTCGTTGAAGACTCATACTTCAGTTTCAAGGTTCTTTTGATATGGATTGATCACAACAGAGTCACATACATCAGTGTGAAAGACCTCTTTGAAAAAGTGGAGATAATTTGAGTTGCGATCCCACCATCAAATCTGCTGATTATTTAATTATTTGTTTTTCACGAGAACCCTTCACTCGTATAGTGAGGAAGGGTAGGCGTGAGACAGCACCTACCAGAGGAAGAGAGACAGATAGACAGACAGACAACATCAATCTCTATTGATCTCTTAACTGGCCTCTGACAAACAGCTACCTGGCAGGTGCATGAGAAATGAGATAACTCCCGCACACCTCCCTGATATGATGATGGTCTAATGACAGTATCATTTCAAGCAGAAAACCATTCCCAGATCGGTTTTCACCCGCTTAAGGAGGCCTTTGAAATAAAGACTTTGACCGTTCGGATTTTCGAATGAACATGATTTGGACATAACGGTATTAGTCCCAAAATGGGCAATCGTTCTGAAAGCACGGTGGATTTAATGAGACGTGTGCCCCATCGGTGCCTTGTGAAACTGGTTGGCTGGTGCGATGAAGTGGAGAAGGTTTTGATATATGAATAAAAGGAAAATGGCAGCCTCAGTAGCATGCTCTACAACAAGAAAGGTGCAGATGCTGAAGGGAAAGTGCATGAGCCTCTCGGGAGAGAAGAAAGCGTGCAAGAGAAAGGAGGTCCTCAACCGGAGGAAGTGGCTAACCTGCCAACAGGCAGCAATGACTTTGACAATCAGCCAAATTAGGAGCCTGCAGACAGCCAATAGACACAACTACCCATGTTGCCAATCAGAACGAGTATAACTCCCTGGGCAGCAAATCCCTGAGCTATACCTTACAGACTCCATCTCCTTGCTTGTTGGCTCAAGCCAGATTTCAAACCTGCAGGTCGAATACATTCGTTGTTTTTTTTAATTTTTATTATTACTATATTATTACTATTATTATTTTCCTGCTGTTCTGCGAGAGGGAAAGAGTTTCAGACCCATCTCTTGGGAGAGTGACAGGCAGAATAAACCCCACTCCCCTGTTGCGTCACTGAGGATGTTGCATACTGTAACGTGCAGACCAGAACAAGAACCGACCTTTCAGTACAAAGTATAAGATAGCACAACGGAAGACTTAGATACCAGTGATCCGAACAATCAATGTTGTAATGCAGCACTGAACATACATCATCATCATCGTTACATGGTGCGAATGGGCCTGGCGCTTCACACAGGAAGACAGCGCCAGCCCGTACCATACACAGACGAAGAGGAAGGGGATAGACGAAGAGGAAGGGGATAGACGAAGAGGAGGGGGAAGATGGGAATGTCGTCAACACCAAGTCTTCGGCACAAGCCCAAATAGTCCCTCGTCGAACTGTCTGAATCCCAAATGACAAGTCTGGATCCAATGTCATCAAGTCTCAAGTCACAACTCTGTCTCTCTCTGTCGTAGTCTGAGAAGTCAGGTGGCGAGAGGGTGAGAAGAGAAGGTGGACTTAGAACAGGTGGCGAGAGGAAGAAGAAGAACTCTCTCTCTCTCTGTGTCCAGTACTAACCTGTGGAGTTGGCGCCTTGATGCAGGTACCACGAAGATGGAGCTGGAGCGATGGCGCCACAGGTAAGTATCGCTGGCCTCCGCCAGCCTCTCTCTCCCACTCTACGATCTACCACCTACCAGCGCCCAGCGCTGAAGACTACAGCTACAGCTATGGCGCCCAGCGCCGAAGACTACAGCTAGCGCTAATACCTACTGCCTAGCGCTGAAGACTACTGCAGCGCTCCTCCTGAGTGCTGCGACCGAAATCCTGAAGACTACCACTGCCTACTGACACTACCTACCCGTGAAGTGCATGGGAACCTCCTATGTACTACCGGGTGTGCCTCCTGAGCCGTGCGAGCAGTTCAGGAGGCTTCTCTTGCCAATGCCGAAAGGAGGCAGGGGCTGCAGCTGCAGCTCCTGCTCGAGCTCGTGAGGAACAGGCTATTTCTGGCCTGTTCCGCATCCCTGTTTACGTGCCTGAGTCTTAGGGGCAGGTCGAAACAATCAGGGCCTGAAAATGGCCCTCCGTTTCAGGCTGGAAAAACTCTGGGTCTGAAAGACCCAGAAATAGGCTGAAACGGGGTAGGGCCTGCAGGCCCTCGTTTTTCAGCTTTCAGGCTGAAACGAACGGGGCCTGTAAGCCCTAAGTTTTAGGCTTTTAGGCTGAATGTCYGGGACGGGCCCTGCAGGGCCCGTGTGGCTACGCAGTATGCCACACCCCCCCCTCCTTGAAGAACCGAGCTTACCTGCGAGGGCGAAGCTGTCTGTCTGAGRGAGGGACCACAGTCCGGGTGGGAGGGGCTGGTCRTGAAGCTTCYYGAGYTAACCTSYGCTTTTCMTAATGCRCGTAGATCAGCGGTGCGGATGCTTTCAAATCTGCGCCTGAAATCCAYCGAGTGTCGTCRCGATWGCATGCTTTGAATGTGACTTTGTACTGCCGCGGCTTGCTGCCGTACTTGCAATCGGAGATGACGCGGTCAACTTCCTGATGGCCATCCATAGAAGGAGGGTCCTGCGATCGTCGGTCCGGAAAGTCGTCGCTCTTGGCTGGCGTGTATGTTGCCAGCTTCGAGGCGTGGAAGACCGGATGGACCGTCAGATGCTCTAGAATGTTGATCACAAATGAAGGGCCATCGGGCTCATCGCCCGCGGCTGCTGTCACAGACCAAGGTCCAAACCACTTGGGAAGCAGTTTGCGTGAAACGTCCTGTTCCAGTGCAAACTCCTCCGCGGAAACCCAAACCAGGTCGCCGGCGCGGATGGGACATGGTACGCGACGCCTGTTGGCTTGCTGCTGCATGCGGACTTGAGCCTTTTGCATATTTGCGCGGGCTCGAGTCAGCAATTCCCTGTACTTCCGAACGGAAGCGGGAGAGCAGGCAGCGTCAATGTCGGCTAGTCGAGGGAGGAGAAGGTCTACGAAGATCCGGCCTTTCCGTCCACCGTGGTGCAACTCGAATGGAGTCACGCCGATCGCCGGATGCATCGAAGTGTTGTAGGCGAACTCGATGTCGGGRAGGCGGTCAACCCAATCTTTCTGGTCCGGACGGATGAGCGTACGAAGCATCATTTGAGCGGTYTGATRTGCYCRCTCCGTCTGCCCGTCTGTCWSAGGRTGTCGAGCCGAACTTGGTTTCATTGTTGTGCCGGACTCCTGCATGAGAGCAGTCCAAAACSCYGACATGAAACGAGTGTCGCGGTCGCTGACAATGTCTTCTGATACACCGTGGCCACAAATCCAACCAGTGTGCAGGAGGCGTGCCAGCTCGGGAGCCGTGAAGTAGTACTTGCAAGGGAGAAAATGCGCCTACTTACTCAATCAGTCCACAACCGTGAGGATGTCGTCGTGCCCGAGCCGGTCGCGAGGAAACGGACCGGTGACGTCCATGGCAATGGAGAGACCGGGTTCCCATGGGATAGGCATCGGGTGTAACTCGCCGTGAGGAGTGCGGTTGCGGGGTTTGCTGCGTCGGCAAACTTCGCAAGAGTCGCAATACCGAGTGACATCGGTAATGAGGTCGGGCCATCGGAATCGCTGTCGAAGCCGTGCAATAGTGCGGTTGACTCCGAAATGGCCGGCGCGTCGTGAATCATGATACTCGCCGAGGAGGCGAGTCTGAAGACGACGGTCGCGTGGGACACATAGTAAGTCCTTACCTCTCGAGTGGAGGAGCAAGTACCCATCGACAATGCGGTAATGGCTGGCCGGCGGGTGATCCGAAGATAGTTGTGCATAGAGCGTGCCGAAGTCYGGATCAGACTGATATGCCCGGATGAAGTGTCGCTGAAGCTCCTCGTCGAATGCGAAGCCATGATGCGACATAGCGCAAAGATCAGGTCTTCGCGAGAGTGCATCTGCTGCGTGATTGGAGAGGCCGGGGACATGTTTCGGTGAAGTCAAATTGGTCGATGAAGTACATCCATCGTCCGATCGTGCTGCTCACCGTGTCCTGCGTCTTGTAGTAGGTCAATGGATTGTTGTATGTGACCCATGTGAACCTATGACGCCAAAGGATGAAGTGCCGCCAGCGCTTGAGAGCCATCACGAATGCGAGCAGCTCCTTCTTCCTTGCATCATCAAGCGAGTTGATGGGAGGCACTTTGTGGCTGAAATACTCCACAGGGTGCCAGTCGTCGCCGTCGTGYTGTTCCAAGACTGCCCCAATGCCATAGCCGGAAGCGTCCGTAGTCACTCGCGTCGGCAGGGTGGGGTCATAGATGCTAAGGACGGGTGCCATGAGCATAGCCGTCTTAAGTGCTTGGAATGACYGGMKTGCGTCGTCATCGAAYACGAATGGCACCTTTGGCGACTGTAACCTCGTCATAGGTGCAGCAATCYTGGAGTATCCGGTGATGAATCGCTGATAGTAGCCCACCAATCCCATGAATGAACGAACGTCCGTGGTGTTGGTGGGCTCGGGCCATACTCGTAGGGCCTCGATCTTGTCCGCAAGCGGACGGATGCCTTGCGGCGTCACATAGTGTCCCAAGTACTCCAGCTCCTGCTGTGCAAACTCGCACTTGTCGCGATTTGCTTTGTACTTGGCTTGTCATAGCCGCTCCAAAACGGTGCGCAGGTGCTCCACATGCTCGTCCAAACTCCGACTATACACCAAGATGTCGTCGAGGTAGATGAGTACAAACCGATCCAACATGAGTCGTAACTCCGTTGTCATAGCCGCTTGGAAAGTGGCTGGGGCATTCGTAAGGCCAAACGGCATGACCAGCCATTCGAACTGCCCATACCGTGTCTTGAACGCGGTCTTGTAGTGATCCTCCTTGCGAATCTCGAGTTGGTGGTACCCTGACTTGAGATCCAGCTTAGAGAAGAACTGGGCGCCGCCCAATCGCTCGAGAAGGTCGTCGATGCGTGGGACAGGGTCGGCGTTCCTGATCGTTTGCGCGTTGAGCTTGCGATAATCGATCCACAACCGCAGGTGCTTGTTCTTCTTCCGGACGAAGAGAACAGGAGCACCGTATGGCGATGAGCTAGGCCGAATCCAACCTTTCTCTAGAAGGTCGTCGAGTTGTGCCCGAAGCACACTTAACTCTTCTTCGCTCATTCGGTAGATGCARCCGCGCRGAGGYACGRCCCCGTCCTCGAGGATGATCTCGTGGCGGATGGGTCGATCCGGTACTACTCCGTGTGGGCCTTCGAACACGTCGCTGTAGGCGTCGAGAAGCTCGGTGATGCGTGGATCCGAATGTGAAGTCGATGAAGCGTCATGGGGCGGGAGGGCGTGGAGAAAACACCCCCCCATCTCCTCGATGTCGTCTCTGATGATGGAAGCTCGCATGCTTGCGGAGGATACCATGTGGCAACTGATCGAAGGATGAGGAAGAGGCACCGTGCATGGAACTAATACTCCGTTCCGATCACGAACGTGAACGGTGCGATTGAAGAAGTTCACCGGGTGATCCTTGCTTCACAGCCATGACATGCCCAAGATCATGTCAAATTTGGTGTCCAGAATGTCTAAGGACACCGCCTCACTTGCGTGAGGGGCAAAGTACACTATCACGCTGTCAATGCACCGGTCGATTGATTTGTGCGTGTGACCGTCTGCCAATGTGACTTGCGTAGGCTGGGGTTTCCTCCGGACGCGTGGGCCAAGGCCGGCGCGCACCATGAAGTCCTGGTTGATGTAGTTGCGAGATGCTCCGCAATCGATCAAGGCACTGCAGGTCGCCTCTCCGATCTAAATACGTACGTATAGCAATGGTGCGTCGATGTCGTCGTACCGTTGCGTCTTGAACTCGCGGTCAATCTTCGCGATGTAAACGTGAAGGTCGACAACCTCTGCTCCGGCGTCCATCAATGGAGCTGGTACTGCAGTGTGCAAGTAGTCCCGCAGTTGTGCCATGAGCACATTGCAATGCGGTTTCGGCAATCGTCCGATCAAAGGAACGGGCATCCACTGGAAGTCCGTGAACGTC